ACGAATGTTGTATAGAATAACACCTATTATTTTCAACATGTCATTTCTCCCTCAGTATAGATCGTACTGATGTTTGAACCAAAACTCTATTCAATCATCTAAAGAACAAACTGTTTCACTCATCAATTAGAGTGATGCCTACTGTTTCGTATGACTTGTAAATATTAGATGAAATTGAACGCACAAAAAAATATATTCTTTTTCTGATCATTTTTATAACGTGTTTTGATTGTTCAATTCAGAAGACTGTTCTAATTGAAACCTTGAAAAAATGTTTTATAAGTTAAGTTTCTCTTATTGAACTGCTTTAAGCTATATATGTTTGCTATTCTTTGACGAAAGAAAAACTCAAAACACGTGGTGACAACGTTCACAAATAAAGATATTTTACGTTACGCACTCGATTTCCTTAAAAATTTTTCTTTGCACCTAATGATACAAATAATTCTAAGTGATGAATCAAATATACCGTTCTATAGAGTTTAAAGGAAGTCTTTGAGTGAAAACAAAAACAGCATGACCTAGTCAAACCAAAACTCACATCCACACTAATGTTGCTAAACTTGATCCTATAATGCTTGATTGACGATGGCATTCCATATATAACAGCGCAAAAAGTTGAGATCAGAACTAGCTGTCAGTCATCTGTCAATGTCTATAAAATTCAAGAACTACTCTATGCACCATGTCAAAGTCTTTTTTATATCTATAAAGAATAACTTTGTTGTATTGATCCATGAAATCTCTGTGTGATTATGTTTTATCGGATTTGACTACAATTGAAAATGTATTACAATCTGTAGCAACGTGTCATCACATCATAGTTCTGTTGGAAAATTTATCTTTTTTTATTTATGTGCCATAGTTCTGTTGCCTTCTATCGATTAACAGCGTAAGCATGTTCTAATGAGAGGAAATTTTTTTGAATCGATGAGATAAAAAGAGCAAATCAATGGCTTACCAAAAAAAAAGTAATCCTGTTCATAGCATCGAAAATTTCTCGAACAAAATACATGTTTGTGAGTGTGGGTATGGTTCTCTATTCGTTCATATCTACATCTATACCCTTAGAATTTTCTACTTTTATTTTTAATAACACAAATCATTCTTTTAATAATTAAAATCAGGTGTATGCGCTTTTGTTTTCGTTTCTGTTTACTCAAAAACCCTTGTTTGTACTATCGAGAATGGACAAAATATTTATGTTGGCTTTCTTCGGTTGAATGTCATTTTTTATTGTTTGAATAAAAGAAAATGAAACTTATGAAGAAACGCATCCAGCCATTTGAACGAACAAAAGAACGATCTAGACGTCAACATGATGAGTAATGCTGTCAACAAATTAGGAATCAGCTTTCAGATGTGAATGTTGCATAACATAAACCTAGAACATGATTATAAAGAATTTGATTGAAAATTACTACAGATCTAAAGCACAGACCATGTCTGATGAATGCATTTGATAATTGTACGGTGGATAATAAATGACGATGCGTTTCGAACTACCCATTGATTTATTATCTTGAGAGTTTGAATCGTGTTGAACAAGTAAGTCCAAAAGACGATAAATGCCCATGACAATCATACAATAGCGTTCGAGCGATTCATAGAAGAGTGTATCGAATGTGACTGGTACCGACTAAGTCAAAAAAATGATATATTTTGACATTATTAAAATATAATAGAAATTGTACTCTTGAATCAATGTCTGGGATGAGATCATGAATCTCAAGCATGGTTACTCGTGCTCGATTTCGCTTTCGAAGTATCTCTGGTGTTTCACATTGAACGAAACATTTGCTTTCAGCCAGAATTTCTTCCAATTGAAGATCGAAGTCACCCAATAGAATGTTTCGAAGAAGGTTAACAACATTGCCATTGTAATAAGCCTATGAAGAATAAGATGTTATAATTGTGCAATATACCGAAACGCACTAGAATTCTTCCTTAATATGATGAGTGTTTTAAATTACGTATAGTGAAAATAATTTTTCTGTGAAAATAATTAACTTTGAGATTTACTAGGATCCTACAAAACTATATACAATACACACATATAGAGTGCATGATTGGTCATCAATGCTTATGTGATTTATTTTTAGTTCGAATTATGATAAAACCATAAAAATGTGAGTTGTACATCATAGAAAAAGTAAAATTTTGATTAACCAAACATCATCTCAGATTTTTAAATGTGTCGCGTTTCGGTTATGATAAATATGTTATTGATGCATATCTCATTTTCTGAAAAAGATTATCTTTATCCATTCGTAGTTTTTTCCTTATATACATGCGAATTTCAAATTGTTTACATCAAATTAGCTACAACTTTGCTAATAAAAATCATGAATGTGTCGAAGCTACTCAAAAGATACAAAGTTGATTAAAGGATTTTTTCTTTTCCGCGTTAATTTTCTAATCAAAATATTGTCCGTAAACATATTACATTGGTACTTTTAAAAATAGAAGAAAACACTCATAATTTAGTGTCAACACAAAAGTGAAATTCAAGAAGTCGAAATAAACTATCAAAAGTCAGTGTCCCAACAGGTGATACTCACACAACTTAATAGACAGTCAAGTACACTGTCAGCAAAAGCAGCACCTTCAAATAGACAATTATGGAATAAAGAAAAACATTAAAGCAAATTTTATTGGTACCCGATGCAAATGGAGTAGTTAAAAAGAATGGCAGATCTACTTCGTTTGTATGACCTTTAAAACAAAGAATATGGTATTCAGAATTTAGGAAAGTTGACCAATATACCTTGTTCTACATATTGAACATTCGAATCAATTTCTACAAAAGAAAAGTACAAGTCATCATTTCTATAGGATAGAATACATAACTTACTCAGTGTAGTCAGTGTGGGAATTTGATTGTGATGCATAAGCTTGAGTTCAGTCATGTCGGCGTCGACTTTGTTTTTTCCTGATAAATTTAGAGCTGAAATGAATCTAGTTGATTTCATTTCGAATTGTCGAATACTAAGAGCAGACAAAATCGACGATTTATCAACTAAATACTTGTCCACATTTCCATGATCCAACATGGACATAATGACACATTGACGACAGTGTTCGATTGAGATTAGTTTTAGATTGTAAGGATCTTTTGGCGAACCCTGTGATTTTTTTTTTGTCAAGATAAAATTTATTTATTTCCAGAATTAGAAATATCCAAGAAGGCAAAAGCATATTTCTGAACTCATAAGTACTTTTATTTTTGAAGTACGAAGGAGAACTTTGTATTACGATTATAGTTGAGATAATTTTGCGTTCGGAAGTATGCTATTTCCTTCTTAGCATAAAAAATATCTCACGTTAAGAATGTAAATGCTAGGAAAAGTCGATATTATATCCCATTCTTTTCGAATATAATCGAGTTCGGTGACAAAAACAATGGTAGGCACTTCGTGGCGACGAAACGAGCTTACACGTAGAGGCATGACCAGACTCTGGAGACCAATTCTCGGTGATGATTTGTCTGCATGAAGACACACGATTATATCTACAAACGAAACCACATTTGTTCGCAATAGCCTTTTCATGATTTCTAAATGGGCTGATGTTGTTTCACAATTTGAAAAGTTTTGGCAAACAAAAGAAGGATGTTTCTTAACAGAACTTGAACAACTCCTAGCCAGTTAAATTTGACAAAGGTCTACTTAACAAACTAGCTTTTATGTCAAAATTCAAAGTTTAACTGTCGTTGCAATGATCATATCGACATTGATTAATGAAGTAACAAAAATCTATTAGATTATTTATATGCTATTTTCTCATATGAGTATTTATCTATGAAGTTATTTAGTTTGAATTCAATATTTCTTAATAAATCGACACTCAACAATCGAAGGTATCCTATTTAATATGTGAAACACTAGTGAAGACATTTGTGTCATTATTATGTTTAGAAATCTTGAAAGAGATTCTGTAGCTAACAAAGCAATGATTCGAACTCAGTTCCTATTTAATATCTTCTAGAGACATGTGTCATTTATGATTATTGTTCTCGACAAGTTCTGTATACATCTAGAAAGGTTTTATCCCTAAAACATTGCATTTAAATCAACGAAGAATGGTTTTAACAGAAGTTTTTTCTTCTCGAATCCTGTTCGATGCAACTTTTGGATTCTTCACTACGATTAATCATACTTACGATCTTTAAATTGAAGAGGATGTTTGGGAGTCGTTGTTCGGCCTTGCATGGTACCCCTTCCATGAAGCGAGGCACGATAGTCTCGAAGTAAATTGGCATCCTACATAAACGGAATGAGTATTCGATGATCGTCGTGTTAATGATAACATACGATAATAGCGTCTTCGATCGGACGTGATGGTGTAAAATAAAACATGCCGGTGGAATCAAAGCTTGAGACATCTTCCTCAGGCACTCTGTAAAAGAAAACAGAACAATGATATTGATATGCATTAAATCACCCGCACGATTGTTGTCCAGAAACTTTACTACTGATAACTGAATCAAATTCAAAAGATTTGAATGATTAAGTATAAAGGTGTTCTCTCATTCTAATTATACTCAGTTCTCAATTTTGCAACGATGGGATACTTTAAAAACAAACGAATCAAAAGATGAATCATAACATACACTTCATTACGACCAAAACATCGAGTATCTCTTCGTTCAATCTGTGATGAAATAAGAGGTTGAATGACGTCATTGTCTGATATACGACTAGAACACGAAAAAGCACAAGAAAGAGAGACAGAAATAGAAAAGTGTATTCTATTTTCAGGCATTCAAATAACTCACATAATAACATGTTTATTGTTTTGGACATTTGGCAACTGATCACGAATCAAGCTTTCTTTGTCATGTATACCATCAGTTTCCAATACTAGGAGCATCGTTGAATGAATGAATAAGAATAGTCACTGATGCTGACTTACGGTGTGCACACTTTCGCATGTGTTTCACCTGTGATTCTGTCAACTTGTCGAGTACTGGATAGCAAGTTGAACAGTAGTATTTCACTCTATAAAACCACATCAATAATTGATCGTTGCTTTTTTAAAAAAGCAAAACAAGCGAACCGGCTAGCATCTTCACTGGAAATGCCTACGACAAATGCGCGGCATCCACGAACAATAACACATTCATCACACGGTACAACGTCGACAATCGATCGCATATGACCATGTTCATCAGTTTGTCTCATGTCAACAGCCAAAAGCATAACGCGAAGTTTAAAACAGATGCTAGATAATCAAAATTGAACAGTCATGAAAAGAAGAATTACATACAGGGCACTCTCGGTATATGTTTTTCCGTAGAATGATGGCGACATCTCTTCGAGATACATTTCCATACCAGCACCTCGATGATACAAATCACGCCATGACCAACCTTGTGTCTAGATAAAAACAAATTAACCGAATAATTCACCAGCATATTCCATTTAGCATTTCAATACGTACACTCTCATATGGATTGTGGTTGGTCAAAGAAGAAACAGGAGACTAGAATAACAAATAAATTTGCTATGAACTTTTTTTTCTTCAAACGAAACCGACATAAGGCGATGATATTCAGTCGTAATCTATGCTGGAAAATTTTAACATCAATCGTAAAAAACATTAGCTTGCAGATAAAAATCTATGATTTTAACTTGTTCTAGTTTTCCATATCGTTCTATATTGATTTAAAAACAAATCAATACATATGAAGACGTATTCGAAAGTTGTCATTTACTTGGAAGATCTGTTTTATTGTCTTTTATATAAATTGTGGTCCTCGAAAAAATAAACAAAGATTAGACGAAATCGAGTTGTGCATTTATTTGTTTTCTTTATTTTCACATTGAAAATGTTAAGGATGACCTAATAAATGAAATTCAGATTGATGCTTATTGTGAAAAGCTATAGTTAACTAGTCTTTATAATGTTTATTCCAAGGATTTGACGGGTACTTTCGCTAGAGATAGTTCTTTGAAATTTCATCGAACTCTCTGCTCATATGCTGTCATCGTTATGGTTTGGTGAAATATTCGTTCAACGGATAGTATTAGATAGCTTTGTAGAGCTCATTTAAAATTACAGTGTGAAAAATCTTATGTTTAGTATCTAGTAAATGAATACATTGAACATGATTAAGGGACTCAAAGATTTGATAAACTGATAATTATCCTAGAATTCTAGAAGTGTTTCAAAATTCCTATGAAAAAAGGTCTAAATAGCTCTTGAACATTTCTAATTGATGTATTCTTCTAAATTGTATTTGAAATTTCCCATACCTCTCATTTGACGGAAATTAAATAAAATGTTTTTATCTATGAACGTAGATGTCAATATCATTTTATGGACAACTTAATTACAGTAGTTACAATTGTAAGGCCAAAATTACTAGTCGAAGTTGACGAAGAAATCTCAAATGAAGACAACACTTTGAGATACGTATTTTTCGATACTCTTATGAAATTGATATAATAAGGAACAACTAGTCTTTTGGACGATTTATCATAATGACAGAAAATAACTTCAATCAAGTCCGTATTCTTGAAATTACAGTATGGCAAAGTGTGAGTGTTTTTATAGCAAGTACTCATATCTGTATCCACTACCATTGCTATAAGAAGACCCTAAGAATTTCGACGCTAGTAAGTCAGGTTTTCAATGAAACTGGCAAAAATTTATCGAATTTTCTTGTAGAGTTATTTGTTACTGAAAACTAAAATGAAAATGATGCGTCTCGTAATTATGGAAGAGTTCTAGAAAACTGAACCATTTGCTTTCGCATACCTTTCGTTGAGTCGCCAGATGATTGTAAGACGGCATTCGAAAGATGTTTGTCATCTATTATAAGACGAACAAAGGTTAAAAAAATTGGCTACATTTTATTTAATACCATTGTGGAAAATCCCGGTACGACACATGACACTGCGATAAGAGCCAGTTTCAATGCTCCAATACACATAATTTCGTCTTCGTCCACATTCCAGCCTGGTACAGAGAGAACGTTTATCTAAAATAATAGTTATCATCGGTATCTATGCAAGAGAACCACCTTACCTTATTGCAATATTCAAGCAGTTGTAGAAGTATTCGGATGCGTCGATTGAAGTTTTTTAAACTGATCACTCGCATGATATTCGCCGAATCATCACTGTCCGAATCTGAACATTCTTTATTGGCAATGATCAAACAGGCTGTAGCCTTATCAACCTTCGTACATGAAAAATCGAACCTTCTTATTGAAAGAGAGAGAACAGATGAAAATACGGTCCAAAAAATAAGATTTTTATATTAGTGAGATTGTTGCTAAATATTATTGCAGCTAGCGAGAATAGAGTTCTTAGAAAAATGCCACTAACTATTGTTGATTAAAAGACTCACTCAAAGTTATATGATCACGTAGTTTCTGCTTTTCATGTCGTGTCAAAAGTTTCTAAAAGTTATACTCATTCATTGAAGTCTGTCAAGAAATCGTATTTAGCCTTTTCAAGAAAAATCACTGTTATAGTGTTGTCTAGTCTTATAAACTGATCGTGGAACTCGTCAAATTTTAATAAAGCCTTTCGTCTCTCACCATCGGTAGTGTTGAGTACGATTATTGTGAAAGCTTCTCCTATATGTCATCAAGCTATCAATCTGATTCTATGGTTGATCTATATACAGGTATGTATCATATTAATAATCCTTTGTGAATTCCATTACATTCTCGATAAAGACACAAATAGAACGTCCATGAAACTTTCTACAGCACAGAATCCAATCAATTTAGTAAAGTGAATATGTTAATGTTTTCAATGGCTATGGACAAGTTTAGTAATTCAATCGGGGATACATGATATGCCCTCTCTATTATGTTTCAAGCGACTTACTTGGATACGTTGTAAGTCAGTTATATTCATAATACTACCAACAAAATAGTGTACTTTCGTGTAATACCGTTTGAGTAAGGCTTCCATTTCGATATCTGGTGTTTTTCTGTCAATAGAAACAAAGAACATTATGTTTATCAAAATGTCACTAGAATCATGCCTGTCAATGATAAGGACATCGAGTTTTTCCGCTTGATCGCGACCTTTATGCAGAAAATCATGAAGAAATGGATCTAACGACTGCGATGTGATATGACCACAGATAATAACATGACTAGAAAATAAATATGTTTATATATGGAAACATATGTAAAACATACCGTTTGCCTTTGACTATCTTGTATCGACCGGCATACGGACTTTTTGAACTGAATAGATTGGAAAATTCTGGAATCATTGTAGCAAAGACTGCCTTAATTTTAACAGTCAACGTTTGAATAGAGAAGAACGAAATAGATATTTACCAATCCGCTCATGAGAAATAGAAGTACGACAAATTTGCCCAGATAAGTCTTGCAAGAAATATCACCGTATCCAACCTAATGTCTAACAATGTTATTTTTCATTTTCTGATTTTGTTTAGATATTAACTCACTGTTGTCATGGTGACAATCATATAGTAGACTGCATTAAAAATATCTAACTCTTGTGCATTACAATAATTACAAAAGAAATCGCCTGAATTCTCAACCAAATGCACTAGACCGGCAGCTGTAAACCAAACAGCAATGAATTTTGATGCTAATCGAGTGATTCGAATCGTACGGGAACTTTTTACAACACCCATATATTGTAAAATGTCCGGAGTATTCATCATGGGCAGCGAACGTAGAAATCGTAATCCTATCAAAAAAGACAAATGAATTATATAAATCAGAAAGAAAAATATCTCATTCATTACCTATCCAACTTCGATTGGCATAGGCAGCCATAAACGAAGGCAGAATTGTAAAAATATCGACAAGAGAGTGCAAACTCAACCAAAAACGTAGTTTGTTTTGTGTCGTAGCAAACTAACATAGTAGTAGAAAAATATCAATCAAATGGAAGATCATAACACTCACTCGAAGAATGAAATAAACAAGAAAGATAACGTTGAGACTGAAATCAATCTGCATTCTGATTGACTTCTGGAATATTGTGCACGATTCCATGTAACTAGGTCGAATAAAATTCATAATTCAATTCGTAGAACTTTCATCGAAAGGATATAAAATAACTATGGGAATAAATTATTCTATAGAATATGAGCCTATTTAGTTATGGTTTCATGCAAATCTTGATCGTCAAATTCATCAAAAAATTACAATCATGAAACAGTAAATAGACAAATCTAAAACCTTTTATACAATTGTCAGTCTAGTAAGATTTCAGAATCCTATCATTCTTTTTAAGATCATCCCCGGGATATGAGAATCACGATCTATTGGTGAACCACGATCGACTCGTACAAGAGCCCTAGCGACTTTACTCAACATTAAAGATCTTCTAACTTCCAATATACTATTGCCAAATACTCTCAGCTGAAGATTGATGCCTGTATAAGATGCCATAACATATTGTTTTATATGCAAAGTCATCAGTTTATTTTCTATCCTTTTTGCTGTAAGATGAGTTTAATTTTCTATCAAAAATTCTGCTCTTAATAACATGAAAAAGCGATTCTCCACAAAAGATTTTTGCTATTTGTTCACACAATAACCTAAATATAGAATGAGGTTTGAAAGTTGAAATAGCATCTAAGAACCTAAAGCTATTACGTAGAATTGATTGAAACAGGAACTCATAAAAATATGCTGTTTCCTTCTGAATACGATGTTCTTTCGATTCAAATGAACCATAATACTTACCTGCTCTGTTGTGTATCTATACAATATAATATCAACGAGACAATACTACAGGCAGAAATAATACTGATCTAAAAAGATAATGAAAGGTTAGTATGTATGTCAATTCAAATACTAACGACTGTTTTGCCCATTTTGGTTTTGCCAGAAATAATATTATTTCCCCAGTCTTCTATTTCTTCTATCCAAATACATTGACTGTTAGCAGTATCATCATCATCGGTAACATTTTTCTGTATTAATGATATATAAATGAAAAATAATATAATATTAACATTGAATTATCGAATTTCGTTTATTTAATTGACTTACATTTTTAGTTTTTGTAGAACGTCTGATACGATGACGTTTAATAAACAATTCTTGAACTTTATAATAAATGAGAAGAATTATCAAACCACAGAGAAAAGTAACCAATGATGATAAAATAAATACTATCCACTTTCGTTTACCATGACACAGTGGATCAAGATTTTTGTTTGCTTGCTCCGGTAAACATGTTGGACAATTACCCATACTTCACAACTATCAACACGAATACAAGTACACTTTTACACACGCAATATCCAATATAAATAGTACTTAATTGTAATGTTAATCTAAAAAATGTATTCTTTCTGTTATGGCACGTATCTTAGAGTGCCCATTAGAAAAATGTTATATCTGTTATCTATATATGTTCGTTCTCTTTCTTTCTTTTCATACATATATGGTTATCTATATGTCTTTTCTTTTTCTACTTTCGTTCTTTTCTTTTTTCTAACAACTCTTGTTCGTTTTTTGCCAATGGCGATTATTATTTCTTTTTTTCTTGATCTTTAACTAAAAGTTATTGCGTAGTTAGTAATGCGTGACGGCATCACATGTATATATAGATATGTTCTTGTGATTAAAAAGAGCGGTGATTATGTTTTTTTGATTGAAAAATAAATCTGATAAAGAAACTTAAGTAGCATATAAATAATAACCATGTACACATGAATATATATGTATTATCGGACATAATACTTTCCTACTGATTTTTCGATCGGCATATCTGAATCATATGTATACAGATTCCATAAATCAATCAATTCTTTAAGACATTCTATAATTTGTAATCGAAAACTTTTGAAAAAAAAAACACGATAGAATACCAAATCACGTATGAAAATGTTAGTGTACTCGTGTAATTATGCTCGAATCATGTACAAGTATAGTCACATTAATAGAACTAATTTGATTATGTCATCGTAGCCGTTGGATTTTTGTAGTGTGATGAACTATAGTATGTTATAGGATTTCAATCTTCGATGTGTTTATTTTTTATTTTCGTTTTTAACGAAAAGAATAACTGCATAGGAAAATAGTTGACGTTGACTAATTATCTGACAGATCAAGAAAATTACTTGAATCAATTTTTGTTGAGTGAAATTCTAAAGTACTCGACGAAATGTCTTCTGAAATTTGGGTGTGTTGTGAAATATACGTTAAAAAAACATGTGCGAGGCTGGAAAATGTATGTAATGCCCTGTGTAAAATAGATCTTGTTTTATGAAACACGATTGGAAATTAGTGCTGAAATATATTGTGAGAAAAGTGAATCTGGTTCCACACTGCCTCACAAATCATGACAGACAGTGTCAACATTGTGCCTCTTGGACTTCATTAGGAGTCATGATCAATACACAGAAGATATTCGCATAACAGGGTATCGTAAAAAATCACCACGTAAAAAGAAATTCAACTATCTCTCCCACGTTTTCATGAAGTGTACTAATATATTCTTTTGTCGTAATAGAGAACATTTCCAAGTTTTCATTTATAAATAAAATGTTCACTTATACTATTCAAAAATATCACTATTTACTTCAATAAAAAAATGTCATCTTTTTAAATAATAATATCAAGCAGCAATGATTATATCATAGAAATTGGTCTATGATAACGAAGAAAAGCAAAGTTTTTACAATACACATTTTAAATAATTTCGAATTGATTATCAATTAAAAAGTATTCATTCTCCACAATGATGATGGGTCTACCGATTTTTAAAGCTCTGAGAATATAAAAACTTTTAAATTTTTTCAAAAACGTCAATGTCTTCACAATTGAAGGAAATCAATTCTACGTAGCTGTTGAAAGTTTTATATGAAGAATTCCTGAAATCGTACTTGATTGACTCTTGTCATAACGCTTAATTTACTCACCAATGTCTATTGCAATGTAACCTTTTTTTAATAGCTTCTAGGTGAAGTGTAAAAATGAAAGAACAAAAATACAGCTATCATTACTTTTTCGCCTGTCTTACCATATCGAAACAAACGACATAAAAAATGCCTTAAGAGTGTCATATCTTATTTCGTTCGACAAAAGTCAACGAAAAAAAAAAATCGATTCTTCACTCTCTTTTGCGTTCTACCATTGGTGACCGACTGCCTATGTGTGCTTCGACTTATCATCAAATTAACATGGTTTGATATAATAGCTGTGACACGTGTGTGAAGAAACTAACATACGACCACCATCGTACATGTCACTTTTGTTCTCCGTTATAACAGCATCGAGATAACACAACTTTAATCATGTAGTTTCATCTCATCCTCCTATATATGTCTCCAAAAGTATCTTTACACAGAAATACATATGATTTATTACAAATTATGCACAGGGTTTGTCGTACTTGTTTCGCCAAATTTGTTCTACTAGATCGTTCGATCGCATACTCTTTTTGTGAATTACCAGATATTCGAACATTATATCGTAATAGACTCAGAGATTGTTGAATCCTGATACCAGGCATCCTGCCGACACTACAATAGAATTCGCGCTTAATATTATATTGATGAATATACATTTTGTGGAATTCACATATATTTTCGAAGAAAATAGTGAGTGGAAGCTTTAAGTCGAAGTTTCTCAGTTCCCCCTCTCTCCATTCCGGATCTGAGCGACCGGAACTAAATAATGGATATTTAAAAAGTGAAAGATAACAAACCAATAGCAACAATGAAAACGAAAAATAGGGCGCCCGTAAAAATAAAATAAAACGAAAGTTCTGCTCGAAATGTCGAAATAAAAAATTGAGTTTCATATTTCAACTGGAAAGGTGCTGCGATAACAAGTTATTATTCATGGAATTATCGTTGAAAAAGTTGTAAATTATATCGTCATCATAAAACAATGCATCATGATGATCTTTTATTTTAATGTAAATATCATAATCAATGAGATCTCTTTTTTTTTAATTTTAAATTCCAAATTTGATTATTCATGAAAATAATCGAAAATTTAAAGAAATTCTTAAAATAATTCATATTCAATCATTAATCAATAGTTTTGCATCGACTTTAAAATCAATTTTGACTCTTACATTTATTTTTTGTTTTTCTATTACAGATAAATTTATTTTATTTTCAGATGCAAACATTTTATCAATACTAATTTCAGTTGAATTTGAGACTCGCAGTATATTTTTTAAATGTCGGTGGTTGAAAAGTGTTTTCTTCAGAACATGATGTTTAGACAAAATTTTTTCTCAATTTTATTATATATATACATATTACTAAATTCTGTTGTATATGGTGAGAGAAAATTAGTTTAATAAATCAAATATTTAAGGCTGCTTTTCTTATGACAACATATATATATATACATACGCAACAGAATTTGATAGTCAAGACACTATTGGATATAGAAAATCTATCTCAGCACATATACATATATCTCATTCCGTAATCAAAAATCATCATGAAGTTTTTAATTTTCTTTTAACAAGAACAAGATTGATCATGGTGTTCTATATAAAATCCAATGAATTAAATGTGGCTTTGAACGCCAATGAAAAATTTAGAGAAAGAAATTAAATCTTGATATTCAAGTCTGAAAGTCAACTGACAATAGCACACATTGTCTTTCTTTTCATCATTTTTTTCAGTGCCTAGCACAGAAACTGCAAAATCAGTCATATCTAAGAACTAAGATAATCCTTATCGATCAGGAGATGGGTTGCCTTTCGTCTGATGTACCGTCTAGCTGAATCCTTACAAAAATATAACATTACTAAAATTTCGATCATTGACACAATATTTGTTAAGCCAATATGC